GAAGGAGAGAAAAGAGAATGGCAACATAGGCCAGATCTCAGCAACAGAGAGATAGAAGAAGCCAGAATGATGTAAGATCCACCATAGATAGGGGTTAATTCTAGATGATAACCTGTAGGAGGGGCCTGCAGCCCACAGTATCCAAAGAACTATAGCAGACTCAGGCTACATTCAATCAGCATCAAGGTCCATGGGCAGTTAAACACAACAGCAGACACTTCTAGATTGATAATTTTCAGAATCTGAGAGAGACTTTGGAATGATAGTGTCTAGGCCCTGGAAAAGATTTACAAGCCCTAGTTAGAGTTCTAGGGAAGAGAAATGGTGACAAAAAAAAAAAAAATTGACACTGTAAAACTGCTTCGGGGCATCTGGGTGGCTCAGTCGGTTAAGTGTCCCGCTTCAGCTCAGGTCATGATCTCACGATTTGTGCGTTCAAGCCCTGCATAAGGCTCTGCACTGACAGCTCAGAGACTGGAGCCTGCTGCAGGTTCTGTGTCTTCCTATCTCTGTCCCTGCCCTGCTCACATGATCTCTCTCTCTCTCTCCCTCTCTCAAAAATAAACATTAAAAAAAAAAACCTGCTACTTGTTCTTAGGCCTGCGATCCCAGTGGGCAGGAGTGTGTAGCACTTCAAACTACTGTACTGGGTTTAGGGAAGCAAGACCAATTGCAAACACTATAGGTAAGCCCTGGCTTTCTAATAAAAAAGAAAGTCTTGGACAGAATTGACTTGGATACTCAGTAGGTCTGAACTTTTAGGTGATGAGATTGGGACAGATTTCATCTCCATAGATATTTTCCAGCTGGGTTCCTATTTGGACAGAGTCTAGAGGCAGAGGATCAAGACCGTGGCCTGCTTCCCACTGCATAAAAGGAAATACTTATCTATTCCACACACTGGCCAGGAACTGAGTCCTGTTATGAAACTAATGCTTACTCGGAGACTGTATAGGACACTGAGAATTTTGCTTCTGGCACCTTTATAGACTTAAGTTTACGAAAGTTTTATATCACTTAGTGAAACTGCCTTTTAGTACATATTAGTTCAGTACTTGCAAGCAGTGTTAACACTAACCTGGTGGGGCTGCTCAAAGAGAAATTATTTGAAGATTTCAATGGAGAAGTTTGAATTAAGGGTGAAGGCATCTCTGCTACTGGGTCATGTACATCCATAGTATAAGGGATTTTAAAATTACACTATACAGACACATTTCAGGAGGTACACTCTGAGACAGGTTAGCAGGCAGGAGGTTTATTAAGAAGCAGTCTTGGGAATTGAGAGCTTGGGGTTTGGAGGAGAAGGATTGGAAGCCGAAGTGCACAGGGGGAGAAAGTAGGCTGTGTTGCAGTCCTAATGAAAGTTTCAACCAACCCCTGGGGAGCTCTGAAGCCAGAGGAGCCCTTCCAGGTTGTCTGAGTTTGGATGAAAAAGGGTCAGTCTTTCTGCCTCCATGCTGCTGGATCCCTGGTTGTGAGCTGTTCTGGAAGGTGGTGTGGCAACCAAGGCCATTCACAACAGCATTCGCAGATGTTGGGGATGCGGGGATCCCATCCCGCTATCTTCTGAACGGCATCCACCGACATTTTTGGTGGAGTTGCTATGCCATCACTCAGAATGGGAAAGCGTGGTGTCAGAAACCGACAGGCATCTCTAACTGTGGCAAGAGTGTAACTGCAAAGTTAAGATGGTCACAGAGGAAAACTGTTGGCATTCTTGTTTTTTACACTGAAAAAACTCCAAAATGGAAAGGAGTTGTAGTCCCACCCATAATTTCATATAGGGGCCTGGTGCCAAATAACTGAGCAAATACCACCTTGGAGAATTTAAGACTGAAATACCTGGAAACAAAAATGACAAAAAGATAATCACAGCACAGGATAATATTATAGCTTGTAGTATAAGCTGATGGAAAGGGATGTTTAGTTTGCCATTTATTGAGTTGAATTAACATAACCATTTTATTTATTAGACATATTCAATTCCACCCCAGGGTGCCGGGGTGGCTCAGTGGGTTAATCATCCAACTTCGGCTGAGGTCATGATCTCACAGTTTGTGGGTGTGAGCCCAGCATCGGGCTCTGTGCTAACAGCCCGGAGCCTGGAGCCTGCTTCAGATTCTGCATCTCCCTCTCTCTTTCTCTCTCTTTCCCTCCCCCACTCATGCTTTCTCTCTCTCTCTCTCTCTCTCTCTCTCTCTCTCTCTCTCTGTGTGTGTGTGTATGTGTGTATGTGTCTCAAAAATAAACATTAAAAAAAGTTGAATCCAGGGGCGCCTGGGTGGCTTAGTCGGTTGAGCGTCTGACTTTGGCTCAGGTCATGATCTTGCAGTTCATGGGTTCAAGCCCCACGACGGACTCTGTGCTGACAGCTAGCTCAGAGCCTGGAGCCTGTCTTCGGATTCTGTATCTCTCTCTCTCTCTCTCTCTGACCTGACCCTCCCCTGCTAACGCTGCCTTTCTCTCTAAAATAAATAAATAAATAAATAAATAAGTAAGTAAATAAATAAATAAGTTAAATCCACCTCTAAGTGAAATAAAATTGGAAATAATTATTTTATCTTGTCTTAAAGTTACTTAGATAGGAAAAAATTAATAAAAAGATGTATATTTTCATATACTTAAAAACAATAATAGAAATAAACATTTAATAAAATGTACTAATAATGTAACCAATCTAAAGTATCATTGAAACATAAATTCTGTTCTTCAAATTTCAGTTTAAGTGAATCACAAGACATGTCATCATTTTGCACTCTGTTAGAGAGATGATCCATTCTCGTTATTCCATTGGTGACCTATTTTTTATGTACAAAAATCCTTCTAATCCATGTAAGCAGATTTTTAAAATAAAGGCCAAACACTGACACAGAGTGGCTAATCATTTAATCCACAGATGTTTGTCTCTAAAAAACAAGTAAAATCTAACTACACAGAATAACTGCCTAAGGTACCTTCTGTTGTTTCCAAGGGTATTGAAATTTAATATTTCAAAACGAAATCTTTAATCTATATAAATGGAAAGTGAACAGAATCATGTTCTTGAGACAAGATTCACAGAAATAAGAAGAGAATGAGTTCTAAAGAGGATAGGGAACTCTGTGTTAGGAATACTGTTTATATGTTATTACGGCCTGAGAAAACTGTATTTGAATCCACTGTGGCTAACCAAACACAGGATTCTGAAACCTCTACACATGTATCAACTGAAAATATATTAAGGTGATATTTGCCGGAGGAAATGTATCTTGCTCCCTCTCTCCATGTGTTACATAGTATAACTTATACATAACATAATCTATCTTAAAATACCAAACTCCTAGAAAGAAGAAATGGTTGGGTCATTTAAGGAGGGAAGAAGAGGGGCTACCTAACCATGAGCAATAGTAAGTGGGCTGTAAGAACAAAGAAGGAAGAGCCAGGAAAGATGTGTGAAGGGTTTGTTAATATGAGCAGTTGTAGAAAATACCAACAGTAGTAGGTGGCTACTGGAATTTTTGAAATTACTTAACCAGATAAACAAACATTTGGTAATATGGCAATTTGGAAATATTTTCCAGAGATTGTAAAAAAAAAATAAAATAAAAAACAAACAATCAAACAACCAAAAACTGATCAGAGCTTAGCCTTTATACAGAGAAAAAGAGAAGCTGCATGTTTCATTAAAGTAGGGGACTTCACACTTTGATAATGTTTTATATGAACATAACTGGTAACCAAGAAGACACCCAATCCTGAGGCTATCAACGCCACCTAAAGTTTATCGAGTATTTAATAGGTGTTATGCACTGTTCGAAGGGCTCCATCTGTGCTCATTTATTTATCCTTAACAATCTGACAAGGTAATAATACTTTCTATTTTATAGATGAAAAAACTGATGCATCCCCAAGCTTATGTAACAAGCTGAATACTTCAGAAAATCTCTTTCCAGATATAAACAGGAGAATTCTCCTGGGGGTATGGGGTCAGAATGTCCTTTTTAAGCCTTAGTGAAGTATAATCAGTGCACAGAAATTTGCACATGTTGACTATATACATATTGGTGAGTTTGGACACGGGCATCACCACAATCAAGGTTCTAAACATTTCCATAGCCTCCCAAACTACCTTGTGTTCTTTGTGTGTGTTTTGTGGTGAGAAGTGATTTTTAAAGAGGGGTGCCTGGGTGGCTCAGCAATTCAGCGTCCAACTTTGGCTCAGGTCATGACCTCACGATTCGTGGGTTCGAGCCCTGAGTCCGCTCTGTGCTGACAGCTTGGAACCTGGAGCCTCCCCTGCTCACTCTGTCTCTGTCTCTCAAAAATAAGTAAACATTAAAATTATTTTTTAAGAAAAGAACTGATATTTAAAATAATCATGGCAAAATAAAATATAGCATGTATAATTCTTCAGTCATTATTGTAAGTATAGTCTCCCTTGTTACAGAAATATTTTTTCAGGCAGTCAGTTTTCTTTTTGTTCAACACTGTGAGGCAAGCAAAGCCATCCCATCTAGTTGAGTGAAGTTAATTGTTACCTGTTAGAGAATCTGCTGACTGAAGGTTAATGACTACAATAGATGATTCAGAGACCTTAAACATATTTTGACACTTTTTTAAATTGAAATGTAGTTGACACACAATATTACATTAGTTTGAGGTGTACAACACAGTGATTCAGCAGCTCCGTATATTTTGCTGTGCTCACCACAAGTGTAAACTTCAAACTTCAAACATAATTTTCCTTATAATCTTCATGATTTCTCTTTAGAAAATTTTTTAAACATTTATTTACATTGAGAAACAGAGAGAGACAAAGTGCAAGCGGGGCGGGGGGGGGGGGGTGAGAGCAGAGAGAGGAGACACAGAATCTGAAGCAGGCTCCAGGTTCTGAGCTGTCAGCACGGAGCCTGACACGGGGCTCGAACCCACGAACTGTGAGGTCATGACCTGAGCAGAAATTGGATGCTCAACTGACTGGGCCACCCAGGTGCCCCTAACTTCACATGATTTTTCTGAAGATTTGCCTTTGTGGAATTTGAAACAAAAGAACAAGCAGCAAAAGCTATTGAGTTTCTTAACAACCCACCAGAAGAAGCACCAAGAAAACCTGGCATATTTCCTAAGACAGTAAAAAATAAGCCCATTCCTGTCCTTGGAACATCAGAAAAGAAAAAGAAAAAGAAGAAGAAAGGCCGAATGAAGAAAGAAGACAATATCCAGACCAAAGAGTCCAGTATTGACGCGAGTAAGGAGAGCATTGGGAAAATGAAAAGAACCAGGACCGCATCTGAGGGATCTGAAGTAGAAATTACTGAACCCCAGAAGCCACCGTCAAAGAAAAAGAAAAAACGGGAAAGAGCAGAAGTATCCAGCTTACCTACAGTCAGAACGGGGAAGAGGAAGAGAAGTATCTCTGAAGAAGCAGAACACCCAACTCCCAGGTCAAAAGTAAAGAAAATGACGCAGAAAGACACTATTAAAACAGAAGATGTAGAAGTTCCCAAAGAAAACAAAGGTATTGACTGACAAATTAAAGCTTAATTTTTATCTAAAATTAAAAATAATAATCTAAAACTAGTCTTCTGACATTTTAAGATGTAGAAGTCTCTACTGAAGAGGAAAAAGACACGGGAGACGTAAAGGATGGATCCCTTTTAAAAGCAAAGAGGAAGCATAAGAAAAAACACAAAGAGAGGCATAAAATGGGAGAAGAGGTTATACCATTAAGAGTACTTTCAAAGAGCGAATGGATGGATTTGAAAAAAGAGTATTTAGCACTGCAAAAGGCCAGCATGGCTTCTTTAAAAAAAACAATATCCCAAATGAAATCTGAGTCAAAAATGGAAACAAACGGAGTACCTCCTAACTCTGGAATAGAAAATGAAAAAACCAACAGTGAAGAGTGTTGTCCCCAGGAAAAGGTTAATGCAACAGGACCCCAGTTTGTGAGTGGCGTGATTGTGAAGATTGTTAGCACTGAGCCTCTACCTGGCAGGAAACAAGTCAGGGATACTTTGGCTGCAATCTCGGAGGTTGTTTATGTGGACTTGCTAGAAGGAGATACAGAATGCCATGCTAGATTTAAAACCCCTGAGGATGCTCAAGCAGTTACAAACGCACATACAGAAATTGAAAAGAAACACTCCTGGAATCTCGAGATCCTTTCCGGTGATCATGAGCAGAGGTATTGGCAGAAGATTTTGGTAGATAGGCAGGCCAAACTTAATCAGCCTCGTGAAAAGAAAAGAGGCACTGAGAAGTTAATCACCAAAGCTGAAAAGATTAGACTGGCAAAGACTCAACAAGCAAGCAAACATATTAGATTTTCTGAATATGATTGAAAACCACTTTTGGTTCACCGTTTAACATTTCACTGGATACTTGAACTTTTCTTAGGAAATCCATTTTATTATGCTAGTAAATAATAAAGAATGTTTTTTCTGAAACCTATGTTAATTAAGAGAAATTCCTTTCTTCCTTAACTTGTAAATAAGACTTTTTTTTGAGCCCAGTACATTGTATACCACAGTTTTACATTAAACATTTTATTTGCTGAAATTATCTTCTACAAATCAACCTCAAAATGATTTAGTAAATATGTTTTGAACACTAAAAAAAAAAAAAAAAAAACCTAAATTGGCCATTTGGATTAAATACTGGCCTACTCTTGAAGAGTTTATTTTTTTTATGTACAAAGTGTTTTTTTTTATTATAGTTACATTTTCTCTTTATATGTATATATTTCAAGAGTAACAAAATTAATTATCCTTTACCCTTAAATACTTTCAGCGTCTATCTTATAAAAATAAGGACATCTCTTAAGATAACCATATATAATTATCATACTTGTGAAATTTAAATTTAATATTTTATTTAATATGCAATCCCACTTTAAATTTACCTAATTGTAACCCCTTTCCCCCCTTCTTTTCCCTCTAGTATCCAAAATCAAGGAGTCACTCAAACATATGGCCTTGTGTTTATGGCCATGTCTCATTTATCTCCTCTAATCAAGGTCGGGTCCCCAGCTGGGCACATGCGTGCACACGTCTGTGTACGTATTGTGATATTTCATGACAACATTTTTGAATAGTCCAGTCCAGCAAGATTTGTCAGATTTTTTCTTCATGACCAGATTTATTTCATGATATTGTTTAGTAGAGATATTGTGAGCTCAGTGCATCACTTTGGCGGGAACATGGTATTGGATTGTCCAATTATGGGAGATGTTAAATTGGATCATTTGGTTAGGTTGGTGTCCATTAGATTTCTCCACTATAAAGATATTTCTCCCATTGTAATTAATAAGTTATTTGTGACTGAATATATGGTTCCTCAAAAGTTTATCACACAATGCTTTTAGCATCCATGTTAATTACTGCCTGAATTAATTATTACTGTGATGGTCATAAAATGGTGATTTTCTATTTCTGTTATTCCTTTTACATCTATTAGTTGCTATTATTCTGGGTTTTGTTAATAATAAAAAATAGTTTTCCTCTTCTGTCCTTACCCACCTTTAATTTTTAAGTGTAAATATGGATTCATATATTTATTTTTATCCGATGTGATATAATCCATTCTTGTCACTACTCATTTTAATCATCAAACTGTCCCAGTTTAACCCAGTGGGAACCCCTTCAAGCTGGTCCTTTCTGAATACCTCCCCTGTTTTTTAAGTACTTCTGTACTTCCTGGGACAAGAGGTTCCAGATTTCCTTTGTGATTTCCTGTCCCTGTCCTGGAATCATCCATTTCTCCAAGAGACCTTGGCTCCATTTTGTGAGAAATGATGTTTAGCATGGCTGAGTTTCTATAACTAAATCAGGTTCCATTTTATGATTGTAATTTCATTCCTTAGACATTAGATTTTAGTTCCCTGTTAAATAAGGACATTCCTGTAAAAATTCAATATTGAACCCCCTAGTTAGTTATGATACTTTATGGTGAAAGCATTTAATACCCCATGTATTTTATAAGGGATAGGAAGCTCAGAGAATGACGACACTGGACAATGGAGAGGTGAGAAGGAAGAAAAGAAGGCTGGTGTCAATTTTTTTCTCTTCCAGGCACCATCACGCATGACATAAATTCATCCTCACATAAATCCTTATTGTTTGCAACTGAGGAAGTAACTTATTCAAAGTTGCCATGGGAATGGCAGATATCCCAGAACCAACCCCCTTTTTAATTTAATCCTAGAAATCTCATCTGTGCCTTTTATTACACCATGCCATCCTACAGGCCAAACAAGGAGGTCCGTGGGCTAAGAAGACAAAGTTCAACCTCTTCAAGGTTTAGGAAGGGCAAGCTGTGAACATGCTGATTTCCTATTTCACTTGAACTTATTCATTGTGACTTAACATGCCCAGCAACCCTCACAAACTTTGTCCTTCGGTTGAAAAAAATACCTTCAGGTGTTTGTATGGCTCAGACTCAGGAAGTCTGTGGGAAGCAATTCTATTTCATTTGCTTTCGGTGTTGATTCAAAAAGAACAGATAAGCATCTCAGACTGAACGCTGTCTCAGTTGGATTATTCATTACAAGTATTGCCCATTGCCAGAAGTTAGCGCTTGTGGTGGGAAAGCTTGTCGCAGGCTCGTAAGGGAGAACTGAGGCAAGCTGTCTGAAAAAACAATCTTGGGTACAAAGCCCAGAGACACATGTTTTTTCCCCTTCTCCTTATTACCTTGGTGAAATTCCTGAACTCTCTTGGTTCCCAGTTTCTCACTATAAATGGGGATAATAAGAGCTTGCCTGCCTGAAGAAAGGAGGCAGGGTATCTAGGGCAACATCAACAACCACATTTCAAGTGCATTCTATAAATAGAACATTTCCTTTGACACTGGAAATGCGGAGAAATAGAAGGCAGAGTCTCTACCCTTACTGAGTTTACCATGTAATTAGGGGTGCTGGACTTGCACATAAAAAAAAGTCAAATAAATCACACAGAATAGTTGTAACAAATCATGTGCGTGTCAAAGACAAGAGAAAGGATTAATCACTGAGGGTATTATAAGCTTCCCAATTGAAAATAATAATAAAATGCAACTTTCTCTTTTCTCCTACCAATGTTCTAAAGGAAAGAAAGAACAAGGAAGGACAGAACAAAAGGATCAGTGAAAATGAAGAGGGGAAGGGAAGGAAAAGACATAGAAGGAGCAGTAAAGGTAATAGCATAGGTAAATATATATCTGTATTTTAATTTGGAACTTCTCACTTTTCTTACATGATTCAAAAAAACTGTAAGATTATTATAAATCTATGTTGATGGATATGCAATGTATAAATATGTCATCTGTGGCAATAACAACATAAAGAGAACCATGGAATTGTATAGAAGAAAACTTTTACATATAATTGAAATGAACTTTATTCTCAAACTATATTTCTATAAATAAAATTGCTAATTCTAACCCTGTAATTAGATGGTAACCCATTAAGAAAATAGCTTGAAGTGTGTAGAAAAATGAGAAAGGAATCAACATTTGGCATACTAGAAAATATATATTTTACAGAGAACAAGGCAGTTATGGAGAAAATGAGGAAAAATAAAAGATAGAAGACATATGAAAAACATATAGCCAAACAGGAGTCCTTCTTTATCAGTAATTGCATTAAATGTACATGGAATGAAATTCCAATCAAAAGGCAAATAATGGGAAAATGGAGTAAAAAACATGATTCAGCCACAGGCTATCTACCAGAGGCTCACTTTTGATCCAAAGAAAGCTAAGTTGACAATTAAAAGATGTGAAATATATTCCATGCAAATACCTACCAAAAGACAGCTGGATTGGCTATATTAATATCAGGCAAAATAGAGTTTAAGAAAAAATTGTTACAACAAACAAAGAAGGACATTACGTAATGACTAAAAAACCCATAAAGAAGATATACCAATTATAAACACATAAACTAAGCCCCAAAATATGTGAGGCAAAAATTACAAAGGAAAAAATAGAAAGTTCAACAATAACAGTATAGCATTTATATACTCCACTTTCAATAATGGATAAAACAATGAGAGAGAAGATCAACAAGGAAACAGAAAACTTGAACAACACTATAAACCACTGAGATCTAAGAGATATATATATAGAACACCCTACCCAATGGCAGAATATACATTTTTTCTCAAGTGCCCATAGAACATTCTCCAGAAAAGGCCCCACCTTAGGCCATAAAATAAATCTCAATACATTTCAAAAGACTGAAGCCATACAATGCATTTCCTCTGACCACAATGGAACAAAATTAGAAATAACTGTAAAACTCCTAGAAGAAAACAGAGGAAAAGCTCATGACATCTGTGTTTGGCAATGCTTTCTTGCGTATGACTCCAAAAGCATAAGCAACACAAGGAAAATTACAAAAGTAATTGAACAGAAAAGCTTCTGTATGTAGCAAAGGAAGCAGTCAATACAGTGAAAAGGCAAACCAAGAATGAGAAAAATATTTTAAAATGATATATCTGATAAGGCATTAATATCCAATACATGTAAGGAATTCCTACAAATCAGCAGCAAAAAACAAATAACTTGATTAAAAAATAGGCAAAGAAATTGAGTTGACATTTCTACAGGGAAGGTGTACAGTGGCCAACAGATATCTGAAAAGATGCTCAACATCACTAGTCATCTGAGAAATGCATATCAAAAGCACAATGCGATATCACTCACATCTGTTAGGATGTCTATTATGCTAAAAAAATAATAAATGGTCATAAGGATATGGAGAAATTGGAGCCCTTATACACTGTTGGTACATGTAAAATATAAAATAGTGCGGCCCCTGTGGAAAACATGATGGGATTACCCCCCTAAAAAATAAGATTAGAATTACCATCTGATCTAGCAAATACATATCCAAAGGCATTGAGATTGATATTTCAATATTTCAACTTCCACATTCATCACAGCATTATTTCAACAGCCAATGTATAGAAATAACCTAAATGTCCACCAACAGATGACTGTGGTGTATACATACAGTGGGGTATTATTCAGCTTAAAAAAGAAGGAGGGGCACCTGGGTGGCTCAGTTGGTTTAGCATCCAACTTCAGCGCAGGTCATGATCTCGCAGTCCCTGAGTTCGACGCCCGCGTCGGGCTCTGTGCTGACAGCTCAGAACTTGGAGCCTGCTGCAGATTCTGTGTCTCCCTCTCTGTCTCTGTCCTCTCCCCCAGTCATGCTCTGACTCTCTCTCTGTCTCAAAAATAAATAAAAAAAAAACATTAAAAAATAAAAAATAAATAAATAAAATAGACTCTTAGGAAACAGAGAGTAGAAGGGTGGTTGCCGAGGCCTGGAGAAAGGGTAAATGGGGAGTTGCTGTTTAATGGGTACAAAGCTTCAGTTATGCAAGATAAATAAGTTCTAGAGACCTGCTATAAAGCATTGGGCCTATAGTTAATGGCTGTGTTTTGCACTTAAAAGTTTTTGAGAG